AAAAAATTTATTAGATAGCTCGGACTGGGATTCGAACCCAGAACTTTCCGAAGACATGTCGGCTACTCTACTATTTGAGCTATCCGGTCTATACTAAATTTCTTTTCACTTATTCTATATACATTAAGCCATACCGTCCATCTTACGGTTAGCATTTTTTAACAAATATAAATAATGCTGTGAATCGGGAAAGAATAGGAGTTACGGATAATTATTACGTGAAGCGTTCTTACATTCACGTAACAGGATAATTGGTAGGACAGGATTGAGAAAGGATTGTGGAGAGGATCATCTTAATGTGAGTTTATAGAATATGTGAGAAAAAATTATTAGATAGCTCGGACTGGGAGTTATTATTAATAACTAATAATATTCTCGTCATAACAATAATAATAATTGTAATTACGACGGTTTAATTCAAGTAAATTTCTGACCCTTTGAAACATAACAAGAAAGTTGAATTTAATTGTGCCACTAGTAACAATATTTTGTAGAGAGCAATTAAAAATTAAATTCACTTTGCTCTCGCAATTTTGTACTTTGCAATTTGTAATACAATGATACCTTGATTAGTTTTAAGAGCACAATTAAATTGTATTTTAACAATTTAATTTAATAGACAGCTTAATGAATATTAATTGACTTTCTTGTTTTAAAAAAAACGTGAAGCATTAATTAAATAAATTAATTAAATCATGTCAAATGTTAGTCGGAGTGATTTCATTAATTGAAAATTAAAAAAAATCAACAAATATAAAATAAATAATATATTTTTTTTTTTAAATAGTGATCACTCGAGATTCTATAAATTTGTATGATTTCCCAAGGGCCTCCTGTCAAATGCAATTAGCATCCTCGATAATGACACGCCTGTAACTAAACAAGGTTCATATTCGAGAAACTGGGTCACCGATTTATTCTGACAAGTTCTGTACTAGTAGCTTCTGGACTTATCAACGTCCTGTCCGATAATTATCCTTAATGTATATAATATACAGTTTATATATTTATATTTCTAAGACACTATATAACCGCTAATGAATCAGGCATCGAGTTCAGAGGCTAAAGTCTTAAATGACACGGCGCTAAGATGAAAGCTTTTTACATTTATTGATCCATTTTTAAATACGTTAATATTTTAATATCTTCATACTCTATAAATATAAAAATAAGATACTTTAGAATATTTCTGAGGCTGAATAAAACGAGTTTATCAAGTACTGTTTGCATTATAAATTTTAAAAATAACATGTACAAACAGAGCATAAAAAACTGAGCAAATTTTAAGCTAAAATATGCAATGAATAAAATAAATATTAGCTTTTACCATTTTAAATAATAATGTTAAAAGGGTTAAAATTGTGAAATTCTCTTCTCATAAATATTTTTAATTTTTCATTAAAAGTTTTTTCTTTATTTTTTTGGGAGAAATCAATTTTTCAATACGCAATTTGTAATCAAATTTATAGCATTTAGAAAATTACAATTTATATTGACTAAAATTGTCACCCTTTATAACTTTTTTACATTCTATATAAAATTATTCAACCACGCTCATGAATACAACTTGAAACTTTTAAATTCCCAATAATGTATTCAGTTAGCGATAATTTTATCGAATTTATTAACTTTATTTATCTAAAAGTTTAAGGACAATATAAATAATAACGTTAAGTAAATAAATATTTTTTATCTATTAAGTCATCTCCTCTTTTTTACAAGTACCTCCGTAAATATAAAAAGCGATGAATTTATTATACTCCCTAGTATAAGCAAAAAGTATTTTCTTTCCTTAACAAGAAATATCGAATAAATATAAAATAAATAAATGTAATAAAAAATTGTATACAGGCAAGCGCAATTCCGGCGAAAAAAAGTCCAGCATTTTCAACTCCAGTTTACTCGGACTCTTATTTGCCAGCAGCGATGCAGGTAATATAACTTATACGAGTAATAAAAAATAAATAAATATAGTAGCATGATTTATGAAGGTAACATACAGTTTTTTACTTAAACTTCAGGTTATTTTTTACGCGGTTGAGCAGCTGAAAGCTCTTCAAGTGGAAGAAACAGAGCAAACGACAATGATACCAACGACGGAAGTAACAACGACCGTAATAACAACGACAATTTCAACTACTAGTTCTCATAAGCCGGGACAACAGCAACCAGAAACAACAGTTCCATCGATTGAAGAATCCTCAACAGAAAAGCCTGTATTAAGTCAAGAGGCATCGATTGTTGAGACGGTTAATTCAAATGACAATGCTAGTACTCTCTCAAGCGACAATGAAACGCCAGAAATAGGCGAAGAAACCCCAGAAATAAATTATGGAACCCCCGAGACAAATCACGAAATCCCTGAAGAAAGCCATGAGAAACCAGAAGTTAATCAAGAGACTCCTCAACCAGAAAAAGACATTACGCTGGTAGATTACTCAAAGGATAAACTCACCGATCCAGTCTTTACAGCTTCAATTAGCGATGAAACTCACCAAAGTAATAAGCCCAGTTCCTTGCCGGCGTCATCATCGTCTTCAGAAGAGGACTCGTCTGAGGAAGATAAAGATGAAAAGGATGAGAAAAAAAAAGAACCTACTGTCGATAGTGTTGTTCAAGAAATTTATGGTATCATGAAGCCTCAGAATAAAAGTAAGAATTCTAAGGAATCTGAGTCAAATGAGTCTCGAGAGTCTAGCGATGAAAGCGATGAAGAAGAGAATGAAGAAAATAGGTAAACTTTGTTTATTATTTTAAAGATACTTTGACTTAATGGGTAAGTTTCAGAGAAACTTTTATAGTGATTAATTAAGAAGCAGTCTATAGATTTTTATATTTTTAAGGATTAAAGTTTAAGCAGACTTTTTAATTTATTTAAAAAAATAATTGTTTTTAATAATTGCAATCTAAGTAGAATGTAAACTTTATACAGCGAAGACGTTGAAAATATTAAGCTTTGTTTGATTTACATTGTTATCTATTCATCGAAACACTTCATAGCGTAACCACTCTCAATAGCGAAATAATCTGCTTAGGACAATTATAAGAGTCAATTTTTGAAGCTAAGGCAGAAAAATAAGCTTAAAAACTAGAATAAAAATTTGTAATTTTTATGAGTAAAATTTTAAGATGAAAAAACATTCTGGAGATTAGAAGACTTTTTTTTTAACTTTTAAATAAATTGATACAATGAAAAATAGACTTAAAAATATTATTTTAATATTTAGTAATTATTGATCACATAAAATATTACTTATCATTTTTTTAATTTTGAAAATGTTAAAAAAAATTTTTAGAGACACAAAAATTTATTTTGCGAAGCATGCAGATTTTTTTTTGCTAGTATAAAAGTGAATAAAAAATAATTTATAGTAACGTAGGTAATCATTAAATATTTGAACGGCCATAAAAAATATCACAAACCAAGCAACCTAGTAACTCGCGTTAATAGCACCCGCTCAAATCCGTGGATTATACAATAGCCAGAAAATTGATTTCTAATTATTAAATAATTTATCGCCAGCTGCGGTTGGTTTTTTACTGTTAAATAATGACTAACAAATTTTGATTATTCAGGTTCACATTACTGGGCGAAAAAGTAACGCAAGTTCCACGACCAAGTCTATCGACCTACCTGAGACGTTCCAAGATACCTCCCAAGTGTTCCGTTCAACAATTAGCCCTTTTGTACGATGCACTGAGTAAAGACGCGAGAAAGCAAGGCTTCGCTAAATTTTCGGGCTACTCCGATGAAGTTCTGAAGACCCTTAAAACATCCGCGGAAGGTGGAATAGGGCCGCAGCTTCAAAAGCTCTTGGAAAAAATCTTAGAGCGCAACGACGTCACTAGAGACGATGCCAAGACCAAGATCACTGCAATGCTCAAAGAACTCAAAGAACCCGTCAGTGAAGTTAATAAAGACCTTAGACTTCTGCTGCCACTACGCTTCAACCCTTAATCAATATTATAAATTATAAATCATAACATGTTTCATTTTTTTTTTTATTTCAAATCCATACTCATTTTCATTCTTTTCATCTTCAATTTTTTCATTCTCTGTTACATTATTATAATTATAATCAATAAACTTTCATTAATAAATTTGTATGTTTTTTTTAGTAAATAAGTACTTTCAAATATGTGTTTGAGCTTGTTAAAAGTTTTATTATTACTCTGAAAAACCAATATTTTAATGGGCGAGTAAATTTAATTTGTAAAGTTATTTTGGTGAAACATTTGAATGTTTGAGTGCTTTTACTTATTCAGAGAATATGTTTGTAAGCAATTATATTATTCCATTTTCAGGAGTAATTGACCGATCTAAATGTAAATCATTCATACAGCACTCAAAAGCTCTCGATGCCCGAAGCTTATTGCACTTTTGAATTATTAAATCGCGGTATGAATTTTTATAAACGAAAATAAACTTTGATGTTATATTCAAACGTTTAACTCGGTTTATGTTGAAAATGATAAAAAAAAAAAATGTAAACGCTTGAGAAGATCAATGGAATCATTATATTTAAAAAAAAAAATACTATTTTTATTATATAAATTCGATGCGGATTATCGAAATATGAAATAAGCTATTTTTTAGTTGCTCTAAAAAGACCAACAAAATTCGTGGAACAACATCTAACTTATTTTTTTTTAATTAATTAATAGCAACCTTGCAGTCACTATGTGACTGGCGTGACCTATGAGCTATAAAAATTTAAAGTTTTGCTTTATTATATAATGACTTTTGTTAAATTTCACTGTACTTTCTTAAATATTGACGCTTTTAAAGATAAAAGCTCATCCCGATGTTACACTCATCAAGAGCTTTCATTTGAGTAGCCACATGCATTTTGATATATTTTTCATATATACATATATATATTGATAAATATATAAAATATGTGAAAAATTGATGTGGGTACTCAAATAAAAGGTCTTGATGAGTGTAATTTCAGGATGAGCTTATATCTTTAAAAATGTCAATAATTTACAAGATATCCGTTAAATTACACTATACTTTCTTAACTACTGACGTTTTTAAAGATATAAGCTCATCCTGATGTTACACTCATCGAGAGCTTTCATTTGAGTGCCCACATGCATTTTGATATATTTTTCATATATACAAATATATAATATATATAAATATATGAAAAATATATCAGAATAGATGTGGGTACTCAAATGAAAGCTCTTGACGAGTGTAACATCGGGATGAGCTTATATCTTTGAAAACGTCAATAGTTAAAAAAGTACAGTGCAATTTAACATAATTAAGAAACGACCTTCTACTTTGAGAACTATTGACATTTTTAAAGATATAAGCTCACCTCGACATTACACTCATCGAGACCTTTCATTTGAGTACCCACATGCATTTTGATATATTTTTCATATATACATATATATAATATATATAAATATATGAAAAATTGATGTGGGTACTCAAATGAAAGGTCTTGATGAGTGTAACATCGGGATGAGCTTATATCTTAAAAAATGTCAATAGTTCACGAGATTCAAGGTCATTTCTTAATTATGTATCTAGAGATAGAGCATTTTCGAATGCAGCCTAAATACTTCATAATAAATTGATTATCGGTGAGAATGATATGAAACCTTAAAAAGGCACAAATTAAAGTCACGACCTTTGCAATTACACTAAATTTCACTAAAAAATCAATTTTTTCATATGACTATCCTGGACACAAAATTTTTCTTATTCTCTTAATAATATAGATTAACAAAAAAAATTCTTTTATTGTAAAATTAATTTTGAAAAAATATTTTAATTGAACAACTGCTAAATAAAATCAGAGCAAGTAAATAATCTCTCTATAGATACGATCCTTAAAGACACAAAAATATTATCCTAACAAAAAAAAAAACTCAACTTTATAAAAATTTACTCAAGCATATGACTATCCTGGACACAAATTTTTCTTTATCTCTTAATAATATAGATTTAACAAAAAAAATTCTTTTATTGTAAAATTAATTTTGAAAAAATATTTTAATTGAACAACTGCTAAATAAAATCAGAGCAAGTAAATAATCTCTCTATAGATACGATCCTTAAAGACACAAAAATATTATCCTAACAAAAAAAAAAACTCAACTTTATAAAAATTTACTCAAGTACCTCGTTGACGTTAAATGAAAAACAAATGTTTATCATTTAAAATGTATAACTTAAATCCTTAAAACTTTTTTTTTTAAGTGCACTTCTAACTTAATGAATAATAAATATCTCACAACGCAACTCTTCAAAATAAAATAAGCATAAAAAAAATTTTTTTAAATAAAAAAAAAACAATTTAAGCCACTATACTAAATATTTATAAATGTTTCGGAGTTCTATTGTCCTCGATCCCTACTAAGGCGAATTCATCAATGAATAAATGTGAAATAAATGTGTGTATGTTTACAATAAATTCAACCGAGTCGCAATTTGATATGCTTTTACCTGTCTGTACTGTTTTATAAAGTTCTATTATACACCGCCTAATTAAAATAGTTTTCATTGTGCTTCTCAATGGAACTATCGGTTTTGTTCTGTTGAATTGGAAACCAAAACATCATAGATATTATCTTATATTACAATATATTATATTAACTGTGTAGTGCACTATAACGAAGTCACCCTACGTGACAAAAATACAAAATTCATTAGGCAATCCTGCATTGAATATTTGGGCCGAAGACATTGGCGCAGAATTATTAAATAAAATTTTTCATTTTATTTCAAGTGTCAATTGTTGTGTCTATCATATAAGAAAATATTAAAATCGACGCCTTTGTCAATCTCCTTGATATAAAAATGTCTTACGGTCGATAAGTCCTTCAGTTATACTGCAAAAGTAATCATCGATGTTTCACTTTAAGAGTCATACAAACAATTCATTATTACGAATATTATAAAATAAATATGAATTATATCACAAGTTTGTTTTTTATATTTTCCGTAAGTTATTTTTTTTTAATCTCGATATGATAAAAAAATAATTATTATTATTAATATGTAATTTAATTAAATAGATAAATTTGTTAAAAACAAATGGTTCACCTCAAATAACAAAATTAGTGCCACTGGATGACTGGGTTGCCTTCAAAGAACGCACTAGTCAAGTTAACCCGTTGGATAAATTTTTTGGAAAATTACGAGCAACTTATGACTTCATATTTCACAGACCCGACAATGTCAGTAATGTTGAAAAAATAATTGCCGATGACAAATCATGGGCTACTGAAAATTCGAATAATAAAAATCACGATAGATTAATTACACCGATGTTGCCATTATTCAATCATATTGTTTTTAAAAATAATAATAGTAATAAGAAAAGTGAAATTGATATGAACAAAAATTTATACATTAGATTATACCCGGAAGAAAATTTAATGTCAACATATGAAAGTTCAATATCTCGCATATCGAAAGATGATGAATGGCCGGATGATGTAGAGACTGTAGAACCATTGAGTCAAGTAGAAATTGATAATGAGAATATTGATAGATCAGTTGAAGCTGTCACACCATCACAATCGAGCTTTCAATTTCCTATTGCTGTTGTTCGTGCTTTTGCCAAGTGGCTTGAATCCATTCTCAGTTACACACATCAAGCCTACTCAGCATTTGCTCGAAAAAATAATTAATTTGTTTGCTAGCCTAGTTTTACTCATACATTCGAGTGTTTTAAATTCAATTAAAAATAAATAATTAAATGATAAATCAATTAAATTTGTGTAATCGTTGTTCTTATTCAATAAAATTTAATCGATACTATTTTATGTATAAATAATTTATGTATTACGACATTAATATTAACACAATTGAATTTGTGCTATTAAACTCATTACGAAATCACATTTTCATTTTAATAGGTGTACGTAACATGTATATATTATTACACAAATATGCATATATATTTATTAATCTTTTATTCATTTATTTTATTCAAAAATATTTCGGTTTGAAAAATACATATTATTTTATATTCATTTATAATCATTAATGTTATTAATTATTATTTTAATATTCTTTTTGGCAATTAATATCCTTTACATTTCACACTCATCGGTTTATTTTATAATTGTATAATTCAATCGTTCTTCCTTTATTTATTTCAATTAAAAAAAATATGTTGGTCATATTATTGGTTACTTAAAATTTCTGTTTACAAAGAATAAATATTTCTCAAATAATTACTAAAAAAAAAAAAATGAAATAATAATCAAGTTTAGCGTATTGACATTAAACTATGTGCAAAATCTTTGGTTTCCTTTACAATATTTTAATGGAAGATTATCAACTGTAAATATTTAAACAAGTAAAAATCACAATAAATAAAACTTCTATAAGCTTCCGATAAGCTACTCTTTTTTGTTCGTATATTTTTTTGAATAATCACAAAAATTAAAAATTAACTACTTACTAAGTGAAGTCTATTATGATTTTTATTTTTTTAAATCTTGAGATATTTATAATCATAAATCTAAATAATATTTTTAATTATTAAAAATGTCATTAACATTATTCAGTATTTAATAATCAATTTATCGATGGTTAGTGATATGGAAGAAGATACAATCGTCGCGACAAAGTTGTCGTTATTGCAGTCATATTATTAACATTAATTGGAATATTTTTATGATTATTTATTAAAATGTTTAAAATACTGTAATTGATATGGAAATTTTTTATATCTGCAGGAAAATTAACTCCGCGGTAACTTACAATTTCATTCATGTAGTTTTATATCCTCTGTTAACGATTTTTCAAATTCAATTCAGTTCCTCACTCCGGAATCTACAATATACCGTCAACAATCAGCAAGGACCGTGAACTGAGCACAAGTTCTGAGTTGTAAAACAAATCACGTATTAGCTGCCGGGTAATGACAAAGTTTTAATGAGTTAATTCCCATTGGCATAGCGAGCATCCGATAAAGATCAGAGGAACTAAAAAAACTAACTTTCATCTATTTTTCATTTCGCCTTCAGTATAGGGCGATTTCATATGTACGTCGCTCGATAAATTGCCAACGCGTGAGTGTCTCTTGAGTGTTCAACCTTTTGTATGAAGATGACATGAATGCAATATAATTTTGATATAATGATATAGAACAGCGAGAACAATTGCCGCTTACATCTTTTGACTATGAGATTGCATTATCGATTAAATCTACTATTACAATGTTAAACTAAATTAATCTAAAAATTAAATAATGTTAAACAAATAATGTTTTTTCTTTTCAGCTATGCGATGTTTGGTCAATGGGCGTGACTCTGTATACTTTGGTAACCGGAAGAGTACCTTGGGATGGTTCCGGAAGTATAATAGGCGTTCAAGCGGCCGTTAGAACAGAACCATTACGATTTCCTGATTCTATTGTACTTACGGATGATTTACGTGATCTGATAATTAGAATGCTGACTAAGGATCCGGCAATGAGAGCTAGTCTAAAAGAGATAAAGACCCATCGCTGGTTAACCAACTACGGAAAGGAACCACTACCAAGCGAGGCTGATAACTGTCGGCTTCCGGTCACCGTTACCGACGAGGAAGTTGCACGGGTTGTCACAAGAGTACCTAAGCTTGATACGCTCATTCTTATCAAAACTATGCTCAAACAGCATAGTTTTCAGGTAAACACATCGTCATTTTTTGCATGTATACAGTAAAAAAATTTTCGTCAAATTTAACACAAATATTTGTGTTACAGACTGTTTTTACACAAACTAATGTTGATTCCACATTCTAGTGTGTTAAATCAACACATGAGAATGTGAAATTCTACACACTGGAGTGTAATATTCTACACAAAAATTTTTACACATTACACAATGACGTAAAATTTTTTACTGTGTATTAAAAATTTTTATATGATTGAAAATTTTCATTTTTTTTCATTGAAAATTCGAGGAAAAAATTTTAATACACTCAAAAATTTTGCATTTAAAATTTTTTCGAATAATATTTTGGAAAAAATAATTAAACGCTTTTTTATACGCGAAATTTCGTACATTAAAAATTTTTATAAGATGATAATTTTGAATTTTTTTTACTGAAAATTTAAGAAAAATTTTTAATACACTTTTATACGCCAAATATTTTGCATCCAAAATTTTCATATAAATTTGAAAAATTTTTAATTTATTCGATTAAAAATTTTGGAAAAAAAAAAATTAAATACTTTTTTTTTAGATAAAATATTATGCATTCAAAATTAATATTTGAAATTTTATTCTTGAATATAGTGGTGACTTTATTTTCAAAAAATATTTAATATCAAATTTCGAATCACTTTATTATATTTTTATTGTGAAAGCGATATACAAACTCATTAATTAAAATACATAATATTTAGGGGATATTCAATCGTAAACTTTCATCCGTGCATTTATTTGTGAATAAATGTTATAACTCACTCGTTATGAAATAATAAAGTATAATAATAATAATAATAATAATAATAATAATAATAATGATAATGAAAATTTTAATTACCTGCAGAGGCGGTTGCAACAATACAAATATATCCGTCACTCTGTAAATAGATGTATATACATATATATTTTAACGCATATAGAGATTTATAGAATGCAATTTGGATGATGAAAATATCGCTCGAGATGCCTACGCTATTCGGTTCATAATACATCGAGCTATTTCTATTGTATTACTGTAGAGAAGCACAACGTTGGTAATAGAATGGGAAATGACAATCAAATGAACGTATTATTGTACTCGTACACATTAATTGCTACCCAATTTGTATTGTCCAGTCGTAATTATCCTTTAATAACAATTAATTGATCATCCGATAAGTTAACTTCCTACCCATTTTTAGTTCACATTTTGATAATTTATTTGTTTTTTGAAATCATAATTTAAAATTGTTGTTTGCTGTACAAAAATATTATTTTAATAACAAGTTATAAAGCAACTATTTTTAGTTAGGCAGCATAAAGTCAAGGGGTTTATAAATTGTAAAATGTTTGGTATAAAATTTACGGCTTATAAAGTTCAGTTTACAAAAGTTTTCATAATTAAAAGAACCTATATATATACTGTTTTATTATAAAATTGAAATCAACAAACACTTGATCATTTTTAGACTTTATATAACAAATAAATTATCACTAGAAAATTACTTTAAAAAATTACATTTATAGTTTTTTACAATTACTACATGCGAATTTATTTTTATGATGTATTTTTCAAAATTTATTTGTTAAACAAATGCTAGAAATTATTAAATATCTTTTTATTTCATTTTTATTATTCGTTTTAAATTTATTGTTACAAATGCATGTATCTAGGTTGTTATATTAATCGCACGGTCGGAACTAAAGTTACAAACAGAGCAAAAACGACTTTGTGGATTGAATATAACGAGTTTATTAATACCGTACTTAATAATTGCAATGTAATGAGCGCTCGGAAGTTACTCGGAAAAAATATCGGAGATTGTATCCGAGGTAATTATTGTTTGGTAGTCCGTAATTAGTTTACAGCGTTAATGAAGTTTCCGCGGTGGAAATTCGAAATAAAACTTTGCTGTGGATTGACTACTAGCTGTTGCCTGAAGTATAGTTTTGGAATTTATCGGAGAATTCTTGGTATTAAAATACGAAAACGCAAGCTTTATAATGTTCATTAAATTTTTTATAGCAAAAATTCATCGTATTTAATTAAAACATAAAACCAATTTTATGAACACCTTTAGAAAAATTGAAAGTCGAAATTGAAATTGAAAAAAAAACCTGGTCTCAGGCTCATACAATTATTTTGATGAAAATGATTTTTTTGAGTAACAAAAAAAAAATATTCATACCAAGAAAAACTATCTTGGCTCAAAAATTTTTTTTCTTGACTCAAAAACATCACAAATTTTTTTTTAGTCTAAAAATATCTACCAAAAATTATTTATTATAATAGATATCAAGCAGCTTATGTGTTTCTTACAATAAAATGAATTTTTTCGTTTTTCACTCTATCTATTATTATTGTAAACTTACCAAAAAATTATTAAAAAAAAAATTAATTTCTACTTTCTAGTTTAGTTAGATATTAAAACGTATTGTTTAATTTAAAATTATTTTCTTGGTTGAAGAATTTTTCTCTTGATTCAACTTAATTTTTTTTTTAGTGTTTTCATTCATAATTTTTAATTACCAAGTCGCATATAATAGTGACTGCTGGTCATTAAAAAAGGAGCAAGCTAAAACGCGATAAATACTTTTATTCGTAAGGCTTCGAGTTGAATCGAAACATATACAGAGTCTATCGAATGCTTACAACTAAATAAGACACCATGGAGACAAAAAGTTGTTATTGTGCCTCGGGTTCCTTTGTAGTGAGTCATAAATTGAGTGACTAATGATTAATCTTAAATTCATAGCTATAAACAATAATAAACGACTTGAGCATAAGCTTATTAACAAAACAGAGAAGTAAATGTGACCTCGCGAAAGGTGACAAAAAAGTAAGTATAGATAAAAGTTAAGCGTGACCTCGATTTTACGATGGTTGATACCGTATTGATGTTGATGACTGAGACCCAAGGACCATCGTGTTGATTAACGACTTGGATATTCCCCTGTGATCTGTGATCATAGATAGAATGACGAGAAACATTTAAAACAAAACAACAGTCAGCGACCCTACGATCGACGCCCGTGTCCTTGTCATTTGATAAATTGTACTTGTCATTATCAAACGAGTTCAAGGAAGAGCGTCTTGTCGTCCATTAAATAGGATTCTTTTTTATTATATAATTAAACTCTGATTTTATTGGTCGGTGTAGGTGGAAAATGTATCTAATATATCTCGAATAACTTCTGTTGCAGAATCCATTTTTACCAAAGCGGAGTGCAAGACCAGCAGGTCGAGATAGTGATCAAATGTCTGGTAACCTCAAGCTTGCCTCCACTGGTGATGATAGTGCCGTTATTACTGAAACTCAAGAATTGGCCAAGAGCAAGACTCAGCAATTTCACAGAGCCGGAAGGAGCAATTCTGCTCCCGATTCGTACGAGTGGCAGACAAGTGGAAGGTAAGATATTTCTTTTAGCTTTTAGTTATTTACTTTGGATGTTCGAAAATAAATTAAGATACCCGAGTAATGCATCGTCTTTTTTTATCGATTTAAACTTATTGGACAGTAATGGATCAATTTTGAAAGCGAAGAAAGTAATTTAACAGATGCATTTAATGGTGCATTTTCAAAAGGCTGTGGAGATACATAATATGGAAAAAAATTTCCGACGAAAATATCTTCAGCTAAAAATATTAAAGATTTTAACTTGCAATTTATTTTTTTAAATTATTACATGAAAATTGGAATTATCAAAAATTTTTTTTGAGATGAATTTTATTATTTTTAAATAAATATAAATTTATCAAAAAATTGTTTTAATTTTCTTAAAAAAATTTTTCAAAAGAAAAAAAATGAATTTTATAAACTTTTTTATAGTTAAAAAAAGAGAACACTGTATATATTTTAACAAGAAAATTTTAGTATTTTTTAGATAAATTCTCTATGAAGCCATATTTTTTTTTTAAATAAAAATTTATGACAAAAATTTTTTGCATGAGATTTAATGAATTTTTTTGTTTTAAATTAAATTTTTTCATCAAAAAATATTGAGTTACATATGATAAGTTTTTAATCTCAACGGAAACATTTTTCAATTAAAATTTCAACTTTATTTCAGAGAAAATAATTAATTTGATTCACAATCACGTGTTATAACAAATTATTTCTTAACATAGAAAAGCTTCAAAATAATTTTTAATAATTCTTAATATTAAAATAACCATAATAAAAAATTAACTAAAATCTAATTAATAACAAGTATTGTAGATTGCAAATTTTTTTTTTTTTTTTTCATTCTGCAGACAAGTATCAATCGATACATCTTTGTCACCAGTTACGGAAGCCTCGACTCAGGAAACAGAAATCGTGAAGCGGTGACACAGCATTAAATCAATGAACGATAGAGCTCATACTCTGCAGGGCCCTCAGTGACAAATGGAGGAAAACATGTCTAGCTAGTATGTGCTTGAAAAGTTTTAAAAGTCGGGACCAAAAAAGATAACCGATGATGATGATGATGATGATGATGATTTAATGAAGAAGTAAACTTTTTATTTCTTTAAAAACTATGGTTGAGAATCGCTCAAATAATAATCAACGAAATAAATCTTCCAATTTAGTATATTCTTTTTTATTATGAATTATGATCATGATCAGTTATCCGTTGTCAGTATTGAGCACCGTTCGTGCGCTATAATTATATATTATATGTATATGAGTATAGATAAAACAATAAAACACATTACATTGATTTTAATATAGTAAAAATGGTTTAGTAATGAGATCGTACGATAAGACATGCTACTTTCTTAACAAACACGTCATTGATTTATCATTACTTTCATCTGTAACCAAATAATTGAGGCATTTTTTTTGCATAATAATTTTTTTTTTAACAAATATTTCTTTTTCAATTAATATGAAGAAGCAAATATTAATTTTATAAAACTTTCATCCTTTCAAAAAATATTTATTAAATGAATAAAAAAAAGTTAAGAAATCTAAAAGTGCAGGACTCATAATGCTCTATAAATTTTGAATAACAAATATATTATCATTTTAATTGTTAGAGTGAGGAAGAAAAAAATTTATTATTGTTAATTATTTACGTAATTTATATTTCAAATATTTCACAGTATTCAGCTTATTTTACTGAACTCAAGCTATTATTATCACGCGCATGCGCACCGGGAAAAATTTACTGTACATAATTTAATTTACTGTACGCATTATCGTGCTATTTTAGCTGTTTTATATATTTTTTTCATATTCTTTATTTTATTAATATTTCACAATTAAATGAGCATTATGAGTCGTGCACTTTTTTCTTTTTTTTATTAAGCTAAATAAATTTTTGTAAATTATAGAACTAATTTTCAATGAATTATCTGTTAGATATTATATGAATTATATTATTGATTCCTCTCTCTATAACTCTTCGCAATATGAGTTGTGCAATATTTCTTTACAAATGTAAAAAATTCAACATTACATTTTCATCTTTTGCATCTTCAATAAAAATCTTCAAAGATGGAAATAATTTTTTCAGAAGTGGAAGAAATTTCACTTCAGTATATTGACAGAACCTAATATCATATTTATTTATTTTTCTTGACTTAGTTGTATTATGTACTACTTTTAAACGTACCTGATATGATGTAACAACACATTTTTATCTTGTCATAATTAAAAAAAAAATCTTTAATAGATTGCTCCATAGATTGAACATAATTAAATGTTGAGACAACGCAACATAACTCGAATAGATATACTTATATTACAAATAAAAACGGATTAATATCTCTTGCCATAGTACTAAAATATTTTTTTTTATGAGATATAAGGTAAAATTATATGTTACTAAAGGACAGTTTATAAGTTATAAATAAAACAGTCGATTTTATCAAAGGTACGTGACTTAGTTTATGCGGAGGTAATTATTGTTTTTTAAAAAGCAACATTGATGATGACTGATAAAAAAGTAATAAATAAATAAATGAAATATAAATTTATTGTGTGAGTGCGTCATACAATGACGTAAATAGATATAATATTTTATTCGTACAAAATTTAAATTGTGGAGGTGCTAAAATGGAATTGTGAATGTAAATTGATAGTTAAATATAAAAAAAATGTATTTGTATAAATAAATTAGTAAATTATAAAATTAATTATTGTTTCATAGGATAATAAATTTTAAATTTTAAATTTAAATCTACTAATTCAAATTTTTATTAAAATAAATAAACAACGACTATCGTCATAAGTGGTCCATGTCATTTAATATAATAAAATTTATTATATAATAAATCTAACTAGTTAAATTCATTAAGTCATGAAGAATATATAAATATATATCAGTAATTGAAGAATTTTTCATTTAGTGGGACCATGAATGTGCGAAATTTTTAAATTAATTATCATGTTTTTTGTGCGATTAATGATAATTGATAGGTGTGATAATAATTAATTATCAATTTACGTATTTAATAAAAATTCCTGAGACAGTAACAGAAAATTGATGAATTTTTTGTAATAACTTTCAAGTTATATTACTGTTATTACTTATTACAAAATTAATAGACTATATTTTAGAAATTAAAAAAATTTTTTTTTTAAATGCAATTTATTAATTGTCTTGATTGTAACCCGAAAATTTTATTTAGTATTTTGAAATATTAATTATGCAATACGTAATTTGATTTTTTTTTTTTTTTATTTTTTTAATAATAGTGATATTAAATTAATAAAAATTTCTCTCGCAAAACTTACTTAAACTGATAATTTCGCCACTGCTGGAATAATAAATCTTTAAGAATGTGTACTAAATAGATATAGATATTTATACTCTTAAAAATGCACAAATAAACTTGTACATAGTAGATAGATTTATCGATTAATGCACTAAAAAATTTTCAACTCTTCTTACCACAAAGTTAATTACTACTTTACATTGAAAATGAAATTATTATGTGATGTACATAATGTAAACATGTAAGTTTGAAAAATGTCAACTATTAAATTTATTTTCATCTTAAAAAAATAAAAATTAATTGTCAAAACATTACTTTTTATTGTTTTACAATCCCTCTCATAAATTTTAATGAGAAGCTGAAATTTAAAGGATATCAAGTTAAAATTGTTTTTTTATTAACTATCATTCTGCGTTCATATCTAAGGATTTTTCTTTCGATAAAATGTAACTTGTAATTTTTCCATTTATTATTCAGCTCAACAGCAATGAGGACAGAATCTCCTACAAAAAATAAAAAATTTTTTTTTCAACAATTGTAAGTATCATTAATTATAATTAAAAATTAAATTACCTTGAGGTTCAACAGGATAATTCTTATGAGAAAATGTGAACGGGTTTTCAACTTGTTCAAAAATTAGCTGATTTATCAGAGTTTGGTTTAATATCTGTTTTGTTTCAACTGACTCTTGTAAAGCTTTGAGAAATATGACCCACCGCGGTTTAAAATAGTCAACGATAACTCCAGCCCACTGCTTGTTTGCATAATCGCATATTTCACCATTCGGTCCCCACAAAGTTATTTGATTTCGTGCATTGTATTCATATAACTCCCTTTCTTTTTCATTTGTTCCCAATAATTTAGCAGCTTCCAACCATTTTCCCAAGCGAAAATTTTCACTCGAATCCAGAATTCTCTCCAAGTCGTCAAAAAGTTCAACTAGTAATTCTGATTGTTGCCTGTAAAAATAATAAATTAAGTCAATATTTTTACACATAAAAAATTTAACTTGATTTAAGTAAAAAGATCTTGAACCAAGAGTGCCATTTTGAAGGGAATCAGTTTCTTAAGTCAAAAGAAAAAATTTTCAAGTCAAGAAATTATTCTCAGTTCAAAAATTTTTCCTCTTGACTCAAAAAAATAATTTTCTTCAAAATGGTATATTCTTGATTCAAGATTTTTTTTTTTAATCTAGTTAAATTTTTTATCAGTGTACATACAAGTGATTTAAATTCACAATTTCAAAAAAATCTAATTTAAAGTTTCATCAATCATGAATAAATTTTTACAAAGAAAATTTTTTAAAAAATTCCACAGGTAAGAATTTCAAAAAATTTTTTATAAATATTTTTTTAGAACTAACTAATTTTTTTTAACAAAGCTAAAAATTCCAACGCCAAATATGAACTCATACTTCGAAATTTAAATGATTAAAATAAATTAAACAAAATATTCTGTATCACAATTTTTTTGCAACTTTTTCCAGAAAAAAATGTAAATAATTTACAGCTAAAAATCTTAATACTAAAGATAAAATTAAAAATTTTACTTCAATATTTAAAAAGAATTAATACAAAAAATATATGAAGATATTTTACTTTTCCCCCGTTACCTTTGAACTTTGAATTTATTTAAAAATATAACAAGGATGCATAAATTAATACACAAAAATAAAAAATTATTTGCATATAACGCCTTTACCTAGCAACTGCGGTCGACTCTACAGAAAGCAATATGCGTGATACAGAACAGTTAGATTTAATATATTACCTGAGCGAAGCTACTGTTCACGTAATTACCAAATTAAATTATTAGTTTGAGTACCTTAATAAAGTAGAGTTGTTCTTGGCATAGGCATTTTTAATACTGAGATAAATCTCATCAGCAATTAATTGCAAAGCTTGTCTTGTTATATCAACAACATCGTGTCTGTACAATGATTTGTTAGCTTTTTCATTCCGAGCGTTCAGAAAAATACCCCAAGCTTCAATAATCAGCTCTGGATCATACCACCACTGAAAAAAGGAAATAAAATGTTTGATTAGTTTAAAAAGGAAAAGGAAGCATGATTTTTTTTTATTGACTAGAAGTGGCTTGACTGCATAAAATAAATAAATTACCCAAGTTTTAATATTCCCTTTTGGTCGCATCGTGATTACATAGTGTCCACGGATCCTTTCGAGACCAATGAAATTATAAATTGTTTTCCCGAGAATGTTCCATGTTTGCGATGCATATTCATTCCTCCCGCCGTATCTTCGTACAGAATAATTTTCAAACCTAAAACAAATATTTACATTTCACTTTTTCGAATATCTAAACGCAAATGAAGGTAAACCCGCAACGATTTATTTATTTTGATATTTTTTACTGTCAATAAAAGGGATATTTGATATGAAGAAATTTCATAAAAAATTGTAGTGTCAATTTCCGTTTTTAGTGGAGGAATTTTTGCTCCAAAAATTAAAAGTTTTTAACATTATTTTTTCTAAAGTTTTTTAACGATATTAATTTTGTCATTTTTTGATACAAGGATGTCTTGCGACACAAGTTGAGAACAAGAAACCAATAATAACTTTTATTATACTTTACGTTACTAATAATGACAATGGTGGGACGAAAAAAGTTTTTCGATGAATAATTTTACAGAGAAGAGAAAAAAAAATAATGAGATGAAATAAAAGTATTGAGAAAAAATTTTACTAATATAGAACTTAAAGTTATGCAGAGTTGCAAAATATTAAATTTAAAAATTTTTCTTTTTTCTTTTAAAATAAAACTAGAATTTAAATTTACGCGCGCAAGCGCGCGCCTTGACTATAGAGTTTGCATATATTTTCATGCTTATGATATATTTGACCAATCACGTTACGAATAGTTTGATGCCTCATACATTTCATCTCAATTTTATATTAGGACTAGAATTTGAATTTACGCGCGCAAGCGCGCGCTTTGACTATAGAGTATGCATATATTTTCATGCTTATGATATATTCAACCAATCACGTTACGAATAGTTTGATGTCACATACATTTCATCTCAATTTTATATTAGGATTAATAATTATGATTTATTAAATTATTAATTTTTTGAATGATTTATTAATTAAAAATTTTTATTAACTAAATTAAAAAATATTAATAATTATTAAAAAAAATTTTATTAATACATTTAATAATTTAATTGATAATTAATTTTTTTAATTCTTTTCAAAATTTCTAATATTGTCACATTTGTAAAAGTCAAATTTTTTTTCTAAAAATCTAATATAGTAGATCTGTTATTTTTTTTTTTTTTCTGTAATAAAGCACAAAATTTTTTTTTTAGAGATTTTTCCCGATATCTGCAAGCTTAAAATTTGCATTCCCAATAAAATAAACAATTAAATTAAATTATCTTTTATAGAGCATTGGTATCAATTAAACCAACATTATGATTTTATATAGAGTAATAAATATCTTCAGTAAATATTTTACCATTTATCGAGATTAACAGGCTCACGTCGATAAGCCATTTCGTTCATTAATTCATAAATCACATAATTCTGATTGATTCCCTCGGGCGTTAAGCCTGTCCCAATCATCGTGCTACCTTCCATATTTCTTGCCTCGATAACACGCTAAAATTATAAATCAATACTGATAATGATAGTTGATAGATAATTTAAAGATTTATCACAACCTCGCTTATAATTCTTGCCGATCCGAACATTCCAAGGGTGCCGCCAAAATTATGAAGCATACACCAAATAAACGGCTGGCCAAAGTATGATTTGAATCTCATGTATTGCGGAAATTGCTCTGATTGGAGGTCGAGGATAATCATTTTTCCCTAAATCAAAAAAATATTTTTATTACCTTTCCAATTAAATCAATAATCATTTTGTACAAAAATACCAATGGAACTGAAGTAATAAAAGCTTCAACTCGCGATTCTGTCCAAAAGTCAAACTCGTGAACGAACAACCAGCCTTGCATCATCCTGCAATTTTAAATAATAATCAAGTCTAAGTATAACTTTAAAAAGTTTGGTAAATTCAAATGTACATGTATTAAGCGCTTCTGTTATACGTCAATTGATCGAAATAAAGTCTGCTCATACAAGTTTTTTAATCATTTTTAATTTTTCAATAATTTTATATCAAGCGTCGGTAGAAAGGAAAAATTATCTGCTTTACTATTTACTGTAAATAAATTAAAAATAATAATATTAATAGTAAGTTATTTACAAAAATAAATTTTTATATACGGTTGCTTAAAGGATAGAAAATTTTTCCAAATTTCAGCCGAAAATAATTAATTATAATTAAACAAAACAATATTAAGCTGCAATTTTCATTCCATAGTTTCTTATAAGGGATATAAAGAGTTTAAAAAATAAATTTAGTTGAAAAATTTATTTTTTGAAAAATTATCGTGCTTACCTCTTTGACACTGAAGTTAGTAGACGTTTACAAATTTTTGGTTTTATTTTTTTAATTAAATTACAACTGAAAATATATTTAAAAAAAAATTGCACTTGTAGTTTTTCAAGTTTTTTACATGTGAAATTTTTTTTAATTGAAATTTTTTCAAGAAAAAATTTCTAAAAATTTTGAAATGTCAGCTAACTTCTGTTCATCTTACCTCTCCATAAAAACTTGAAAAAATCCCTACTGTAAGCTGTTAAAACAATTTTTTTTACCTAAAAAAATTTTGATAAATTAAGCGATCATTTTTTTTTCTAACAGTATACTTTTTGTATCATTTAAATGTACATTGTGACTGTCAGCTACGATTTAGTGCGACTAAACATTAGTATTTTGGTTTTTATGCGATAATACAGCTTGCGCTTGAAACATGCAATGATTGAATTTTTTTTTTTATTTACCATATAGCTTGGGGATCAACATCCGTCATGGCTGAATAAATAGCTTGCCCGATCATTTTTAATGACTCGGTATCGGTGTCCACGGGTTCATTCTCATTGAATGTGTCACAATTATAAATGTGATCCGTACCGAATTCATTAATGTACTGAAAGTTAATTATTGTAATCAATTTATTTCGCCAATTGTTTTTTTTTTGCTGAATGAAAAATGTAATTTATTACCTCGTGTAAAAATTTTTGACCTATTATTTTAAATAGTGGGTCTGTTGGTGAGACTAAATATGGACTAAAAAGTTTATTTTTTAATTTATTCTCAAGCAAGAAATTATAATTTAAACGAATCTAAAATTATCATTCTTAAAATTAATTTTATCTTCGCTTTCTAGTTCGATATTTATAAATAAATATAATATAATTACCAGCAATATTGATCATCGAATTGATTCCAAACGCCTATTTTAGTCATATTAGCGTGAGGATAAATACGAGAAAAGGCACGTGGTACGTGACCCGCAAATGCAGGAAGAACTGGAATTATTCCAAGTTCTCGCATTCTATTGAGTATTCTATGTTGAAGGACAATAGTGTGATTGTGCCATGAAGAAGATAATAGGCCACCCCATCCTCTGATATTGCCCATCCGTGACCTGATTATTTAACAGGACAATGGAAAATCATTTACACCGTTCTCATATAAAAATTTATATCCCCGTAAAATTAATATTTTATAATTAAAATCGATCATGATCCTCGTACACGGAGAGAATTTTATAGTAGAGAGTATTTTATTGAATATAGTTCTTTCAATTATTTTTTAAAACCAAAAAATTTATTTTTTTATTTTTCCCACAAATTTATAATAAAAAAAATTTTTTATACGTCTTTTTGATTCTGCATAACTAAAAAAACGTATAAAAAATTGAAATATCCTCTTTTGATATTAATGCGACATAATTTAAACTCATTAAAAATTTCATGTATTGTGAGTCAGTAAATGAATATTTAAATTTTTTGAAAATTACAATTAAATTGATTTTTTTTTTGTTATTATTCTATTGAGTTTTTTACATTCTTTGGATTGTTTTGATGTTTTTTTTGTTGTTAATGTATTTACTGACTTGTCTACGTAAGATTTTTAACAAGTGAATTATTTAAAGTGAAAATATATCCACTATTAAAAAAATTAACAAGAGAATAAATTCTTGAGATAAGAAAAATTTACTAAAATTAAGAATAATTTCTTGACTCAAGAATTTATTCTCTTGACTCAAGAAAATCATTTTCTTCAAAAAGATATTCTTGGTTCAAGAGTTTGGCTGCTTTTCAGTGCTTAATTGAAAGAGTTTAATACTTATAATTAATGTATAATGACTTTTAATATATAAATGCTAGACTTAGTAAGAATTATTACTATCATATAAATTGTAAAAACTACAATACAAAAATCATCAACGCTACTATAAAAATCTCTCCAAAAATTTTTACCAAGGTAAAAAAGCAGGTCCTCCAAAGTGCTGATTTATCTCTTGACTAGTCAGATTCATTTTAAGGTACACCCTCTCCCAAATAGCCTCTTGACCGTGAAATGCGAGGGCTAGATTGATGCCATTTAAAGCCATCCAGTCGATATTTTTCTCCCATTGATCCCAACCCCACCAGGCTGAACTATACCCAGTTGTACAGACATTCTGGTAGTACCGAAACCTACGCAATTATTAATAAATAATAAATAATAATAAGCGTACTGTTCCGGGCAATTCCAATTTCAATCAACTATTCACGTCAATAACTATCGAATTACCTGTCGTTAGAGGTTATTCTTTCATTAACATCCGGTAATATGTCTGGTAATTCGATTTGTTCTCCTTCCCACGCTATTTGGCAATTGCAGTGTTTTTTCAAATAATGATGGAACCCCCATGTTACTGCGACACCTGATGTTCCTGTTATAAATATTTCTTGATATTCACTGGACCCTTTTTTTATCTGTTGCGTATTTTCAAGTTTATCAATTTTTATTCATAATTTATGATTAGGAACTTGTAAAAAAATTGTTAGAAATTTTTACCTCAAAAGTATCTTTTCCAATTGGGCCCAAATTTGGATCGACCGAAACACTGAAATGTGATACTTTTTCTCCAATTGTTCGTTCAATTAACATCAAGGCCGCTTCAGCTTGCACGGCTGGTAAACTTCGCGGTTTTAAATGTCCAAGTGTACTTTCAAAATCTAAAGTGTGTGTTAATTATTATTTTTAATTACTTTCTTTTTAATAATTAAATAATTTAAACATTTAATTTTTGAGAATCCAGCTAAGGATTAAAAATTTTTAAATTTTTCAAAAAAATTAATAAAAAAATATTTATAAAAATTTTTCATAGTTTTTTTTTTAAATTTCTATAAATGCAAATTTTTTTTTATGTATTTATAATTTATTATTCAATATCCAATTGCATTTTTTTGAACAATTATTATTATTTAACACTAATTTTTGTATTCAAATAAATAGAAAGAAAAATTGTATTAATTTTTTTTATTTTTGATTATTTTTTAATTCAGAAAAATCCAAAAAAAATTTAGCTGTAAATTTCAAGTTAATTTTAATCTCATAAAAATAATATAACAATTTTTCAAAATAATTTATTAATATTTTAAATACTCTATAAACATTTAACAATAGATAGAAAATACTTAATATAATAATCTCGCCTGCGGCTCTCTTAGAATTTTGTTACTCATATTTTTCATTGAATTAATATAATAATATTAATCCAAATCATAAATTCAAATTTGGCGTCAAATATTTCCCGTAATTTTTTCTGTTTATTACATAATTGACTCACTTACTATTAATATGATTATGATGTCCACTACTTCCAGAATATAAAACAGAAATAATGATGAAATATAACGCAGTATTAACCATCATAATTGTTAAATTGAATCTCCATTTATATCACTATCACTATTAGAGTACTATATACAAAACTCCTCTTGAATTGTGAATTGCCCGTCTAAACGTTTATGTCCGCATTTAATCCTCTCTGCTATTCTTTGCTCATATGAAAATATTTTATCTGGCTTATTATTCCGTTCCCCTTTAAAAGTAAGTCGCAACTTATCTCACTACTGAAATATAACAACAAATAAAATTTTATTCAAACCGTGGTTTAAACATCACCCACAATTACACGCGGATCGTAAACTTTGACATTGACAACATTATTGCTTTGCAGATATTTTATTAAGAAATCTTTTGTTAAGATTTCTGTTGCCGATTTTAGAGAATGCGTCTCTTTGTATAGACTGCTGAACCGTATCTGACGAATTTTATCTTAACAAAAATACTCCACTTCATATCGTACATTGCTTTCTTTCTATTCTTCGAAGTCGTCAGATGAGATTAAGAACCACTCCCAGAATGTTCGGATAACATCAGAGATCTGATATAAGTCTTGGAAGAGCCTATGTTATCGCAGATTAGTGTAACTCTGAAAATTATTTTTTTTTCTTTTTAAACTAAGCCGAGTTTCAGAAGAAAGTTGTTAATAATAAAGGAAGGATAAAAATCTCTCCTTTCAATTTGAAAATAAAATTCATTAAAAATTATTTTGAAGTTAACAAATTTCTGATAATTTTTATGAAAATTTACGATACTAAAATTAGAAAACATCTTACAATTTTAAAAATTTTTTCTAATTAAATCATGATTTTTTTCCAATTTCTACATCTTTAATTTTTATAAACAATTATTAAATCTTTGTTAATTTTAATATCATACTAGTTTTTTTTTTTTTTTTTTTTTTTAACCAAAAAACATTAAAATGTCTATTGAGTTATTATTAAAAATAACTTTTTATTTAAGTTTCAAAAAATTAAAAATTTTACAAAGCTAGATTTTAATAAAACGCTTGAAAAAAAAAAAAAAATAAATATTTTGTATTTATTATTGTTAAAAAAAAAAAACTTAAATATCTGTCATGTTATCAATTACAATTAATTAAACATTACATATATTTTCAATTTCTGTGGTCAGTTTCATGACAAAAAGTAAATAAAGATAAAAAATTAGCAAAAAATAGAGTGAAAAATTTTTAACAAAACATTTAATTTTTATTGTAAAAATTCTCAATTTATTTATGACACAATTATATTCTTCAGTGGAGTTAACATTAATAATTGACATCTTTTTTTCATTTACCTGATCAATAAAATAAAAAATGATGAATAATTGAATAAACACAAGTCGTACCTACAATTGTTTTTCTTGTATAGTTGTCTTTTTGGGGTAGGCTAAAAAAGTTGCTTTGTTAACACATTTTATTTCAATAATAGTCCACCCGCTTTTTCACGGGTTAAGAGAAAATAAAAAATAGTGCGAGTATCCTTTGATGTTTTTCAATTATATTGATAGCTTCCTTTCATAAAATAAAACACAATAAAATTATTAACCGTACATTGCTGTCTCTAAAATAAAAAAGAAAAAAAAATAGCGATAGAGAATATAAATAAAAATTCATATGACGCAATTGTACAGAATATTAAATAAATCTTTTTAGCCACTGCAAAATTTCCATTTATCGGCTAGCAGTTTATTTAATTGTTAAAGGTATAAATTATTGAAGTGACATTTATGAAAATATAGATTTGTCGGATACAGAGAGGATGATAAATAAAATAATTAGTTATTTATTTATTAAATCAATTGAATGGGCGAGCCCGAAATCAATATTGACAATAATAACAGTTTCTGATTCTGGGTATTAAATATTTACAGAGCGGGATACGCGGATCCAATTAAATCATTACCGCGATATCTGAATTTGTGAGTGACAATATTGAATTTAGAGCCACCCAGTGACACGGGGCATGAGCTATCAGGTCGCGTGAGGAAACAAACAGTATAAAGAGCCATTTCTAGTTCCGGTGATGTTCCAACAAACATTGTTGTCACTGGTTTGTCGATATCATTGAACTTTGCGTGTATTTTCAAAATTGCACCTTTCTGAAAACAAAATTTTAAATTATGTTAATAAAATAATTGATTGTACATAAAATAAATAAAAATTAACTAACGAAACTTACATCACCGAGATCTAATTTTTTGATGTATCCAAGGTAGTTGATTTTATTTTTAGCTTCTTCGGCGTTGAAATAAATCCAATTGTGCAGGCCACTAATTTCCGTCCCTAGCTTGAGTTCCGTTAGGAAAACATGCTCAAATCCAGATGATCCAATTTTACCCTCGCCTCTTGAGTATAAGTTGAACCACAGTCTCCTCAGAGTGTCTTTGTACTCATAATAATCTTGTTTAAGAAAGCCTTTATCCGCTAGGAATCTCATTGCCGCTGACATAACATTTGTACTGAGGAATGTGTCAACGAGAAGGCTTTCTTCTGTGCGTTGGAGAGGACTTATGTGTTCGTTTATCCTTGTGTCCAGCTGATAATTATCGTATATTGTCAGGACTTTTGAAATTGTTGGAATTTGTAACGCTGCTGGATTAACCTTTAACAAACTGTTTTATATGACAATTAGAAATATTTCAATAGTAATTAAAATTATAATGAAGATCAACGACAATTAACAGTTAATTTTTTATTAAAATTCCTAATCTTTTAAAAATAAAGATTCAACTTTGATAAAAAAAAATTGTATCCGATCTTAAATAAATACTTTCTTTCCAAGTTTTTACTACCAAAAAAAACTAAATTTAAAAAAAATTGGAAAATCCAAAAATGCACGTCTCAACGCTCGCCTATCACAAAAAAAAAATTTTAAAATAACATAAAATTGAGATGATCGGAAGCGCCCATGTGTGACAGATAATTGAACAATTTTTTTATATAAATAGATATATAAAAAAGACTGTTCACTCACAGTAAAAATTTTTGCGTAGTTGCGTCAAAAAATTTTGTGTTAAAAATTTTTATGTTAATTATTTAACACTTTTATGTGTAAATTTAATATTTATTGTGTTAAATTAACACTAAAAAGTGTTAAATATTTAACACAAAATTTTTTGACGCATTGACGCAAAATTTTTTACTGTGCTGTTAATGAATTTATTCATTTTGTAATTAAATTACATTGAATTAGACGGTCATTTTAAATAGGGTATTACTCAGAATTATACTGAAGCGAATGAAAAAAAATGGACTTAAAAAGTGAAGTTTTTTGAGCGTTATCGTGATTACATACATTACCCGCACATACAGACAACTCGACGTCTACCGAAATATTATTTCAAAACGATTTTTTTATACTATTTAAAAAAAAATAGTATTTTTTAAAGTATCTACTGTCATAAAAAAATGTAATTGTTGATATTTGTCAACTCAATTAATACTCAAAGTGCAAAAAAGTTCGTAAAAAAGCAATATAACCCGAAATAATTGCTTGACTTTGAGAGAGTGAGAGTAAACTACTCACGCTTCGCGTTGAGACGTGCAATAACATTTTCAAGTTTGAGATATACAATAGAGTCAAATGAACACTCACGGCAGTGGTGCTTCATCTTTGGGATTGTCCGAATGCGTTTGTTTCTGTAAGTCCATCGTAATGTACTTAAAAGCGTTGTTGTTGTCTTTCAAGAACAAAGCTTCGGACAGTTTCTCCAAGTCGTCGTCAGTAACAGTATTCCCTTTGCTGTAAATAGGGTTGCTTGAGTAAACTTTCTTAGATCCCCCAGCAATTGCAGCTGCACCGACACCAACAGTAGCTGCACCGACTGCAGCTCCAGCACCTAGACGAGTTGGAGATTGGTCTGGATTAGGTCTAGCTGGTGTTGGTGATCCAGGTCTAGGTCCTGCTGCTGGACCTGTTGCTGGTGATCCTGGTCGAGATACTGGTATTGGACCTGTTGCTGGGGATCCAGGTCTAGATGTTGGCGTTGGTACTGCTGTTGGTAATCCAGGTCGAGGTCCTGCTGCTGGTGATCCAGGTCTAGGTGCTGGAGTAGGTGAGTTCGACCTACTGGCAACTTCAGCCCATGATGATCCAGGTAATGATCCGCCAGCTGGTATTCCCGGGAGTTTTTGTCCATTTTGGGGAGTTGCTGGATTAAGCGGAGCTCCTGGAATTGGTCTTGCTGTTGTAGATACTTCTACAGGTCTTGCAGTAGATGACACTGGCTTGTTTTGAGCTGGATGCGGAGCTGGGTTGGAGATTGGTCGTTGTGCTCCAGCTGAAAGATAATTTTCCATAAAAAATGGAATTGATGGAAAAAAATGTTGAAATAAAATCAAAACTGAACAGAAAGAAAAATGTTCTTTAATCAAGTATATAATTTTGAAGAACTTAATCTTCATAATTTGAGTAGAAAAATTGTTGATCTAATAAATTTCTTTTTGATTTAAGGAAATTTTACTTGATTCAAGAATTTTTCGTCCTGATTCCAGACAATTACCCTCTTCAAAATTATTTTCTTGGTTCAAAAATTTTTCTCTCGAATCAAATAAATTTTTTTTTCAGTGTAAAATTTTAAACATATAATACCTGCTGGAATTGATGGCAAAGCTGAACCAGGACTGGAGGGTGATCCTGGCTTGGACGGTTGTCTTGCTGGTTCAGCAGCACCCGTTAAATCAATTGCCAAGTTTCGGTAGTCTTGGTTATTAAGTTTAGGTCTGGAATTCGCTCCCTCCAAGCCAACTTCCGTTCCGGGGTTTGGTAGCCGTGGTCTCGGTGTGGTCGAGGTTCGAATAGTTCCCGCATTATTGGCACCCACCGCGAGACTTGGATTACCCGCGTTAGCTATAGCTTGACCTACACCCGAATTCGGATTCACTGAACCGACTGGCGAGGATTCGGTTGTTGTTGAAGTCGTTGTCGTTGAACTTTTTTTCCAAAACTTCCATCCGTCAGCCTCGACATCGTCTATTTAATTTAATATAACAGGAAAGTTATTTTATTATCGCACAGTTTTCTCGGAATTTATTCTGTTTGGGTTTCCAGGCGTGTTGGTAATATACGATATGATATGATAAGTTGATACGTGATATTATGTGATGGGTACTGAAATGGTGTTGACTTATATTGCGATAATCAGTGACATTTTAGGGGCTATCGAATTGACCCTATGACCATTTCTTCAAATAATCTGTTTAATCTTTTTTTTTTCCTCAAGGATTTAATAATAAGTAATAACCCAGTTGCAATGCGTAAATAAACATTTCTTTTTTTAGTGATTCATTCAAATGCATTCGAAATCAATGAAGCATGTAATCAATATAGGTCATTTTAAAGGAAAAAAATGGTTTTTTTTTTTAATTTCAATCGACTGTTTCAAAATTTCGAAGGAGAGAAAGTTTTTAAATAAAAAGTAAATTTCACTCAAAATTTAAAATCTTATGTAAAATTTTTTTATACCAATAATTTTTTTTTATTTTGAAAATTTTTTATTAAAAATATGTATTTTTTGTGATTATTTTATTTAATTTTTTTATTTGTACGATAAAACTTTGTCATTAAAAATAAATCTCTTATTAACTCTTAAAGAAAAAAAAAAGTGGACATTATTTAGATTTAAAATTTTTTTCAATCAAAAAAGTCAACAAAGTTTGAAGAATTCAAAAATTAAAAAGCAAATAAACTATTAAAAATAAATGATTCAATATTAATAGATAAAATTTTCAAGCAATTATTTTTTTATACATCGAAAATATCTTATCGTAATTTCAAACAAATGATTTTAAACTAAAGTGACTTATTATGCAAATTTAGGATGCTAAATGTGATTTTGTTTTATTTAAAAAAAAATTTATGGGAATAATATTATTTATAATAAATGACCATGAATTTTAATGTCAATGACAAATTTATCTGAGTTTAAGAAGTTTCAAGGATCACGAGAATTATTAACTGTAGTTATTGAATTATCTGAATTTAAACTTCTAAATGAATTATTAATGCAATCAATAGCTTAATTATTGAAACCGCATGAATACAACATTATTAACTTCATCAATTTATTCTATAAAAAAATATACAATATATCGTTTTGTTTGTAAAAAAATTCCACTTGAGGTATATTTTTCACACGAGTGAAAGTATGTTACTTCTTGCGAAAATATAGAGAAATTCATCTAGGTATTCAAATTATTCAATAAAATTAGTATTTTTAAAATAATTAAAAAAAAAAAATACTTACTAATAACAAAAGCCAACGAGGTGAATAAAATAACGATGAATATTTTAGACACCATATTTAATTACAGTGATTGCTATACCGCGTTTATCGATCTTAATCCTTCGGCGATTAAAACGAGAATGTTTTTCAACTGACTAACTGCGAGTTACTAAGACTTGTTCACTGTAAATAATATAACAAGCGACTAGAGACTCGTTACATCTTTTGTCTTCGTCTGACGGCTGAATCTGAGACGATGACTCATGCGACAATCTCGAGCTACCTAAGTCATAAACGATCATCCTTTAAGTTTTACTCATTTCCAGATTTTGAATATTTGAAATATTTAATATTCTTCACTTTACAGATTTTCGAAATACCGATCGCTTAAATTAATGTAAAGCGAAAAATTTTACCCATTTACTTGCAATAAATTTTATAAAAATAATTAGTAATTTTTTAATAGGTATTTAAATTTTTTCTGCTTACAGAATAGAGAACATTAATGAGTAACTGAACTCTCGATTATTGCAAAATAAAATTGTAAAATTTATGCTAATTTTTTTTTATAGAACACGTTTTATACATTTGTAGGTAAGCTACCGATCGTTAATACAAAACAGAAAAACTTAGCTGATATGTTACTCACTGAAGCTCATATAGGTTTTTACAAGTAATTAATATTTGAAAAGAAAACTTGAACATTTTTTTAAATTCGACGAAAAATAAGTTCTATTTATTAACCAAAATTTTATAATTTTTTTATTTAAAAAACGTACAAACAATCCATGAAAAAAATTTTCTGATATGAGTTCTCTTGCAAGTTTGAGGTCTTAAGTTCTTAAATAAAAATAATTTATTGCACTTTTGTGAACAACTAATTTGCAACTGGTTTATAATTTAATCAAAAATTATTTAGGTAAGTGTTGAAAAAATTCACCTTTGATTTGGCTGTAAAAATTCATAAAATGAAAACTATTTTCACGGATGTCATCATAGTAAAAATTTACATACAAAAATAGATAAATGTTATAAAAATAGTAATATATGATAATTAGTTTTAATAAACTTCTCGGAATGCCGTAAACTCCAACCTTAATCGACTGATTGGCTTTGAAGATTACGGTCAATAATTTTTTTATTTTCATTACCTATAGTTAGCACAAGTGAAACGAAGTTCGCGTAAACCTACGGCCGGAATTTGACGTGAAGTTAACTTTAACTTTCTACAACTTTGCGTTAACTTTGAGCGAACCTTTCAAAAAATTCCGGCAGTAGATTTACGCTAACTTGATGCGTAAGTTAAAGTCAAGTTCTGGGAAACTGTTGCAAATGCAGAGATTGACGCAAAGTTAACATAAACCATTGAACATCAACTTGGTTGATGGTCAACCTGTGCTAACTGGGTAGTCGAGCTTATTCATCCCGCAGGCGTTTCAAGTTTTTAACAATTTCCAACGGTGGATTATCATCCTCATCACTATCACTAAAAATCAAGAATATGTATTTTATTAGATAAAACAACAAAATTTTATGTCGGAAAATGATTTCTATACCTTTCCATAACAAGCCTTAATGATGGTATATTGAGATAATAATCCATAGCCGTAAAATTCGCTCCTCGATCGACTAAATACTCCAAAATTCCTTCGGCGTCGGTGCTTCTGGCAGCTAAATGGCAGGGTGTTTCCAACCAACGATCGGTCGCATTGTAATCTGCTTTATGATCGATTAAATACTCCACCAAGTTGTAAGTTAAAGAGGGTCCAAAAGCTAAATGAAGTGGTGTTTTATCTTCATCATCTCTTGCATTAACTTCCGCTCCATGCTCGACTAAGTACTTAACAATTTCAATGCAACCTTTAGAAACCGCATAGTGCAACGGTGTTCTGTGCGCACGATCTTTAGAGTTGACATCCGCACCATGGTCGATTAAAAATTTCCACACTGGGATGGAATTTTCAAGAGCTAAATGCAGCGGTGTTTTGCATTCATCGTCAACAGCATTGACGTTCGCTTTGTTTTTAACCAATAATTCAGTCTTCTTCAGGTAATTTTTTTGAGAGACCACAGCATAATGCAAAGCCGTTTTACTTTTGTAATCAACAGCATCGACATTCGCTTTGTGTCTAATCAATGATTCAATAATCTCCAGGGAATTTTTTTTAGAGATCACGGCGTAATGCAAAGCCGTCTTACCTTTGTAATCAACAGCATCGACATTCGCGCCATGCTTGAGCAAGCATTCAACTCGTTCGTCGATCTGATTTTCATCATTACGATTAATTGGGTAAGAACGAATCACAGAATAGTGCAATGGTGTTTGCTTCCAGCGATCAACCACATTAACATCCGCTCCCTGCTCGATTAAATATTCAAAAATTTCCTTAGCAGCAGGATGTTGAGCCGCTAAATGCAATGGTTGCTTTTCTTCATGATCAGCTGCAATTACGTCTGCCCCGTGGTCAATTAGGTACTTGATTGCTATTGGATCATTAGAATGGTAAATAGCCAAATGCAATGGAGTTCTCCCTTCATTATCGACTGCATCAACAATCGCTCCAGCATCAACTAAATTCTTAACAATGAATTCGTCGTTAAAATCATTATCCTGCGACTCTTCACCAGCCTCAGGATTATCCGCAACAGTATCAATTTCCTCCTCCGTACTTGAGACACATTCAAAAAACATTGCTTTAAACCTGTTTTGAGCAGCATAATGCAATGGCGTTTTCTTTTTATTATCCACTGCATTGATGTCCGGTTTATATGATAGTAAAAATTCAACTATTTGTCTGTTGGTCCTATTTTCGGCAGCATAATGCAGTGGTGTTTTGTTTTCATTGTCAACTGCATTGATATCCGGCCCTTTATTGAGTAAGTGTTCAAGCATAATGAAGCTGTAGACACTCATACCACAGTTTTTATTGTATTTGGGTGAATATTTATTTACTTTGGTAGTAAAATCATCAACAGCGTAATGTAGTGGTGTTTTGCCTTCATTATCTCTCGCATTGATGTCTGCTCCACGGTCAATCAGACTTGAGATCATAGTTCCTTGATGATTATTCGCGAAAGCGTAATGCAATGGTGTTTTATTTTCATCGTCAACTGCATTGATGTCTGTGCTCCTTTCAATTAAACTTTCAAAAGCTTTAAAGTCTAATTTTTTAATAACCTTGTGTAATTCAGTAAGCGGCATTTTGTATGATGGAGTTTTAGGAATTATAAGTTATTGAAGTCTTTATAGTTTTTGAAGCCAGGGTTGAATTGCAGGTACAAAAATAAAAAATTTCATCTATTTTATTATCACTAAAAAATAATAAAATCAATTAAATATTTTCTGAACTCTTTTATGGAAGAAACATAATTTTATTCAAAATATTTTACCACTGTTGAATAATCCAAATTTTTTCTTGTTTACTTCTTGATCTTCAAAAAAATTTATTTCAAATTGTCTACTTAAAGGAACAACGTGATACAGAAAAACCTGGAATGAAAAATCTACAATAGAAATCATAAATTCAATTTCCTATAATTTAAAAGGGAGTCTCCTAAATTTTAGTTAGAAGGTATTTCAAATTCCAAGATTTGAAGTTGAAGAATACATGGCAATAGACGAGCTCCTTCACTCATTTTTAATGGATAATAGTGGGGAGTTGAAGTTGGAGAACGAAGAAATAAAGGAGACCACTGTACTTTTATTTTGGAGAGAGGGCATGTCGTATTTATTAGTTCTTAGAATTTTAAGTCCCGTAGCTTCGAATTTATACTGTATTTATAAGTAATAAACTATAGTTAGAAAAGTTTTTAATTTTAAAATTCAAGATATAAAAGAAAAGAAACGGAAGAAGAATATTTCGCATAAATGCGCACGGAGAGAAATGGATGGCGTTTAACACTATGTCAGTATGGTCTCCAGACCGATACTAAAATAGTATGTGTAATATTGCAATTCAGTATTGTAACGAGTCCCATAAGTATGGCGTTATTTACTATGTAGTATAGTAATGATGCTATTGTATTTTTTACACGTATGCATAGCAGGCTTGGCAAGACAGTATGGTCCTGAGACCCATACTACATTGCTGATGACGCAAGGGTACTAGCGGTTCCCGCTATAATTTTTGGCGTGTTAAGCAATTAAACTCTTGTGTTACCACCAAAACAACACTGACGGAAAGATTTGTTTTTATTTAATAAGCTTTATTAACTGTTAATAAATGATTTTTTAACATCATAGGGTTTAATAAATATTTATTAAAAGTTAAAAAATTATTTATTAAATACGATTTATTAAATGTTAATAAATATTTGTTAAGAGTTAACGAATATTTATTAACAGTTAATAAATATTTATTAATGATTAATGAATATTTCTTAACTGTTAACAAATATTTATTTAAAATAAAAAACAAAAATAGTAATTTTCTTTTGACACTTCTTATGATTCTATAGCTGAAATAAATGATAATAATTCAATTCACTAAATAAATTAACGATTTCAATATTTAAAAATATAAAATATAATTATTAGCTGTAATAGAATTTACTGAATTTAGTATTTTATAATAAACGTTAATATAATGTAATATAATTAATACAAATAATTTATAAAGATGATTTTTGTTTATAAACAATCTTCATATCATATGACATTACAAGGGAAACAAATTTACTCAAAAAAATATTTATCAACTGTTAATAAATATTTGTTAACTAATAAATAAATAATTATTAACTATTCATCAATGTACTTTCCTCCCAAATAAATATTTATTAAATGTTAAAAAACATTCATTAAAATTTAATAAATTAAATAATTGTCTTTAAATAAATTAAATTATTAATAGTTAATAAATCCTTCTATCAGTGTATATAAGGTAAAAGACCCAGTTATTGACACTGGCCTAGTTATTGACACTTGAAATTTTATTTTAATTAATTAAAACAAATCGACTCTAATAAATTAATAAATATAATTTTTTAACTATAAATTTTAAGATAATTGGTTTTTTGAGAACATTTTATTTTTTTAATTAGAATAAATTTTTTTTTAATAATTTCTCATATTTTTAATAAGACACATAAATTCTTGTAATTTTTTAATTGATTGTTGTTGTTATTTTTCTTCACTAAAATCAATTCATATCAGAGTAAAAATAAAAAAAATAACAATCATGTCATGAAATAATTAATATCATTTTTTATGTATATGATATATTTCGGACATAACCTACATCTATAATTAAATAAACATTGTTGTTACTCCAATAATGTTGTAGCTAAAATCACAATATTGGCTAGGTCTACCTGCCAGAAGAATTGTACATACGGCAAGTCAGTATAGGCCTGACGGCCATACTAGCATTGCGGCATCCGCGATAACTATCGCCAATTTTACCATTCCCGCATGGTCGAATCATCTATGTGTACAGTTTAATAATGGACAAAAATCTTCGATACCATACTGTATGGCGTTCTCACCCATACTGGTATAGTGGTATCTACCATCCATTTCTCTCCGTGTGGATGAAAATAATGGCAAAATTGCAGTTGAAAAAATTATTCAAACTTCTAATATTTCCCGAGTCAAAAAAATTAACTTAGATAAGCTTAAATGAATTGTTTTGATATAGCAGTCAAGTTAATTTTTTCAACCCGGGTTATTCTGAATTAAAAATTAAATTTCTCCATAATAGATATCATAATTAAACCCATAAAATATAATGAACATACCTTTATTTCTGTAACTATAAGTGTGAGTAGGGAAGATACTAAAAAGTTCACAAATTAATAATTTTCCCGTGAGTATAAGTATTATCAAGTGGTTATGCTACCATTTAACAAGCCGGTATGAAAGAGTTAATTCACAACACTCTGAATGTTAGTGATGATTCAACATAATATAGTCGCTTAAAAAAGAGAGAGTGCGGATCGGGTGTCTTCGACTTCGTTTCCTCTACTTAAATCTTATGAGAAACTATTCATAAAATTACAGTAGGGGACCCGAAGTGAGCCGATCTGTTCTTTCTAAAAAAAAACTCAAGACCTTATCCTTTGAATAAAAATAAATAAGAGTCTTGAAGTTAGTCATACGACGAAACTCGTAAAACAGGTCACGATTTATCATCACAATTTAAGTAGCTATTGATGATAAGAGTAAGCTTCATATTCTTCCCGTATTAAATTGATAAAACCTCCTGTTGTACACTACCAAATTTATCTTTCCAATACTCAGGAGATAACTTCAGAAGAAATTACAGAAAACTGCAGTACCTATCACCTGCCCCATCGCTTACAGAATGGGATTATCTTGGACTGGATTGTTTTCCCCCTAGCGAGAACATAGAGCACCAATTTCCCCTTCCACACTGCAGCAAAACTTGGTCGAACGCGAGGAGATTTTATATGCGTTAGACTCCAGAAAATATATCAGTCTCTTCTTGGGACGTGAACGCGCGACTATGGGTTCTGTTAATGAGCCACGAACCGCCCACAATCCAGAATTTTGAATACAGTGCCATTATTTTTTATCTACAAGTTGTAATTTTTTGCACTAAAAATTGCAAATTAAATCAAATCATTTAATTTTCTACCCTCTGACGTGACTATAAACCGCAGTGGTAAAAATTGTCTGTATAAGTGAACCAATTATGAATTTATAATTTATAATCATTAATTATATTAACTGAATTATAAATATAAAGTGTCGTATATTAAGTTACAGGGTTTGATGAAATAAGTTAGAAGTTAATAGATTTAGCGAATTAATTAAAATATACATGGTAAAATAACTGCAAACGGTGCAAATTTACGAGTGGTACCAGGCGGAAGGGTAGAAAAAGTTAGCAAGTGGACTTGCGTAGATTTTCGTCAGACGTAAGGGTAGTACCCGCGAGGCAAATGCGAGTCTAGCTGGATATTAACGATTAGGTGAGTACTGTGTTTATTCTTGATAATTGATAACTCGTTATATATTTTTTTTCGATAAGTCACAGCTGTGCGCTAATCGATAATTATATCATCTCATTGATAATAAGATAGGAGAGGCTAAAAAAATAAGTCTGATCATTTATTATTGAATTGAAGTAAAAATTATTAAAGTTGATTTTACTTTGACGTTTTTGATAAATCTGACACTTTATGCTGTTATGATTTCACTCGTGAAATTGAGAATTTGCATCAGGAAATTGTTAATCATAGAAAGTGATGCATGTAAATATTCCAAATCGAAATAATGAACTTGTATTAAGCTTACGTTAATGTAATAGGCTTAAATTGATATTACATATATGATTTAAAAAATTGATTGGTTGAAAGATAACTCAATTATAAATTTATTGGAAAAAGTAATGGAAAATATAAATATGCAAATAGTAAATTTTATAATTTTTTTAGAATTTACAGTATAACTTCATTAGGAAAATTTTATAATAATTTTTACTGTTTCATTATTTTTTTAATTTTTAGCATGAATAATTACAAAAACGGGGACTAAATAGTCGAATAGAAAATAATTAATTTTTGGAAGAAAATTTTTGACACTAAATATTAAAATAAACTAATTTCCGCTCTTTTTAGTTTTGTAAATTTTTCAATTTAAATAATTGGAAAATTGTGTTTTTTTTTTAATAAAAATTTTAAAAAATAATTTGAAGTTTAAAATTTTGTTTACGATATTTTTGTCAAAAACATAAATTTTGTAACAAAAACTTCAATTTTTTTTTTATATTTTCGGTAATTATGTATAAAATTAATTCAATATGAATAATTAGTAAAATAATAATTTTGTCTCAGTAGAACAAAAAACTAGGACAAGAAAATTAATCATGACTGATAAAAAGATAAAAATATGTTTAACTTTTGATACATTTCTGCAAAATGTATATCGATATGACTCACTGCGGAAGTCGGCATTGACTTTATCTCGGAAGTAATTCTAGTTCAAGCGAAAGACCTTTGTCCAAACGTTATCATTTTAAACAGATTAATAAATAGATGCTTATAAAGCATCCGTTATTATAATTTTCGGAATTCAAATGATGGTTAGTTTTATTTAACTATTTTTTTTCTTCAAGTATAATGTCTTTATAAAACATGTCAATTATAGAGTCAAGGTTATTACCATGGAAATGTTTTTTATTTTTCAGCTGAAAAATAAACAAGAAAGTACAATAATGACATAAAATAAGCCTAAGA